ATGTTGGCAACCACAGCTTTATGTAGGTTTCATAAAACTTCAGTAAGACTCCAAGGTCATCTGGAATCAGAGCTAAGAAGGTGGCTGCCCTGACATAGGTCAGAGGATATCATAAAGTATAAGACACATCCTAAACTTCAGTAACAAAAATAACGTGGTCCTTGGAAAAGACCAACAAGCTGATCACCAGAATGGAACAGTCCCAGGACAAAAATCCCACGTTCAGTGACAGAAGTAAAATCGGTTTTGTGTGTCTGTTTGCATTACCAGAAAACCACGGCCTCTCTCTTCACCCAGTTTGGAGGGTTGGTTTGGAAAGATATGTGATCGAAGCAGTTTGGTTGGGGAGGCCACAGGCAAATGTGTTGTAAGGAATAATTCTGTTACTTAAAAATAATCTGTTTTAGCCAAAGCCGTTTTGGCTCAGTGGTAGAGCGTCGGTCTGCGGACTGAAAGGTCCCAGGTTCGATTCCGGTCAAGGGCATGTACCTTGGTTGCGGGCACATCCCCCGTAGGGGGTGAGCAAGAGGCAGCTGGCCGATGTTTCTCTCTCATCGACATTTTCTAGCTCTCTATCCCTCTCTCCTCCTCTCTGTAAAAAATCAATAAAATATATTTTTTAAAAAAATAATATGTTTTAGCCAAAGCCGGTTTGGCTCAGTGGTAGAGCGTTGGCCTGCGGACTGAAAGGTCCCAGATTCGATTCTGGTCAAGGGCATGTACCTTGGTTGCGGGCACATCCCCCATAGGGGGTGAGCAAGAGGCAGCTGGCCGATGTTTCTCTCTCATCGACGTTTCTAGCTCTCTTTCTCTCTGTTAAAAATCAATAAAATATATTTTAAAACAATAATAATACTTTGTTTTGGACAGTCTGTCTGGTGAGAACAAGGACTAATACACAGAGAGACATGAACGAGAGACACTCTCACTCCCAGGTCCTAGAAGAGGACTTCGGGCTAGTAGCTGCCCAAGTGGCAGTGCCTCCTTTCCCTGCTGTTTCCCCCCTTTTCTTTCATTTTTCCTGTTTTAGGCTTTGACCACCTCAAAGCGGGCACTTTAGTTTCTGTCTCTGGTTGATAAGAGGAAGGGGAAAAGGCCGTAGCCTCTCTCTGGGACAACACCTCACCAACCACAGGATAATCAGCCCACCCCGTGTTGTTAAACACAATCAGAGTGCTCTGTACCTTTAGGCAGCTGAATTCCCCCTCTGTCTTTGGCGGCCTACCTGACACGTTCCAGGTGGCCCAGTGACCCCTGTGTGTGTGTGTGTGTGTGGGGGGGTCCTCTCTAGGGCGTCCCAGTCAACCTTAGAGAGACTAGGATCTGCAAGTAGGAGAGCAATTGTGGCCTCAACTCTCTTTTAAATTCTTTGTTTTGTTCATGCTAAGGAGACTCTTAGCATGCCAATAGGAAGCAGCGCTAAAAAGATGGGCCAAGAAACCGCTGCGGGCATATTAGGGAGCAGGATCAAAATGCTACTTCCTGCCCTCACTGGTTTGGCTCAGTGGATGGAGCCTCTGCTTGAGGACTGAAGGGTCCCAGGTTCGATTCCAGTCAAGGGCATTACCTTGGTTATGGGCACATCCCCAGTATGTGCAGGAGGCAGCTGGTTGATGTTTCTAACTCTCTATCCATCTCCCTTTCTGTAAAAAATCAATAAAATATTTTTTAAAAAATGCTACTTCCCTCTTCATTCTCCACCTCCCCCGCCCCTTTTTTTTTACACTGAGCCACCAGTCTGGGGGAACAGGATCCTTGCTATCCATGGGGTGAGGGCCAGGAGCCGGTCAGCAGCAAGGGATGCAGCCAGCCAGGGAGCCAACCCGCAGCACGTACTGTACAGTGCAGCCCGCCGTGGGCTCTGAGGAGGGGTGGCCCGTCACCGAGCGGGAGGCAGCAGGACTTGCCCTTCACGAGTGTCACTCAAAGACGCATCGAGCTGTGCGGTGGTGGTGGTGGGGTGTGTGGAGTCACCAGCCTGTTTTCCCGGGTGCTTAGGAAGTCCGCGCTTGGACTGTGCCCAGTGGCTCTGTTTCGGGATCTGGGGTGCTGGGTTGGGGTTGGGGCAGGACCCTCACTTTAGGATGGAGAGTGTGGGTGCACCCAAAGGGGCAACACAGGGCAGCGCACGTGCCCCTCGACCAGCCAGAGCCACCCAGACCTGGCTGAGTGGTGAGCAATCCTAGGGCATCTCCATGGGGTTTTCCGTCCTGACTCAGATCATCCCTGCCTCCTCGCCAACTGTGCTGTAAGGAATAATAGCTATTGAAAACGAGTCTTTTTTTTTTTTTTTTTTTTTAAAGATCAGCCTGGTGCAGACAAGTAATACGCTGTTTCCCCGAAAATAAGACAGTGTCTTATATTTTTTCTCCCAAAGTTGCACTAGGTCTTATTTTCAGGGGATGTCTTATCTTTCCATGCGCTAGGTCTTATTTTCGGAGGATGTCTTATTTTCGGAGGATGTCTTATTTTCTGGGAAACACGGTAATACCATCAAGAGACATGAAAGTAAGAGATTGATCACAGGCTCAGGTCCTTTAAGAGGGAGGCACTCTCAGCAGGCAGGGCCCGCATGAGAGGCACCCAGGCAGTGGCTGGACCCAGTAGGTGGGAGGGGAGAGAGCGAAGACAGGCAAAGTGTGCATACATAATGTACTGTGCAACCATTAAAATGTGTTTTGAAGCTAATGCCATAGGAAAATGTTTACTGTATAGAAAATAGAAAGTTTGGCACATAAATATAGGTACAATGTGATCCCAAATGCAACTATATATAACACAGGTACTTATTGCCCTGATGAATAACACGAGTAAAAAACTTCAAGTAGAAAATAGCACATAAAGTCCACAGTGTAGTAAAGAAAAATGACATAGGAGTGTTTATCCCAGGAAATATAAAAGTATTAGTTGGAATGTAATGTAACACATTAATAAGTAAAATTAAAAGAAACTGTAAGAGGATGCTGAAAAGACACTACATAAAATTCAGTGCTCATCCCTTACAAAATATCTGGACAAACTAGGAATGGAAGGATTCTATATTGAGTGTCTCCACAAACCATAAGTCAATATCATTTTTTTAGTGTGAAAAGACAGCTTTCCTATTAAACAAAACTAGGATGAATGAATAAACACTATTACCATGATTAACACGGTACTGGTAGTTTTTCCAATTCAATAAGACAAAAAAACAGAAATAAGGGGACTACCTATAAGAAATACAGAAAAAAAATTACTATCTGCCACCATAAGACCAGAGAATTGATTAAAATATCATTGAAGTGAATGAATGTTCACATAAGGGGTTGGATTAAAAAATAAAAATTCAGTTTTTAATTATGCAGAAAAATGGAAACATGAGATTTACAGAAGCAACAAAACCCACAAAATATCTAGAACTATCTGTAATATGAAATGTACATGGAAAAAAAAACACACAAAGCTCTGAGACACACAAAAACTTGAATCAATATTCAAGTTAATTAGAATTAGGGTAATTAGAATATTGTGAAGAAAGCCACTCTTGCCAAATTAATTTAGAGATAAAAAAAAAAAACAAAAACCTTACGGGGATTAATTTAGGATTTGACAATGTTTCTAGCATTCATCTGGAATAACTGTTGGAAACACATAACTACATATAAAAATATGTGTCTAAGTCCCTCTTTACAATCTACTTAATAATTCTGAAGAAAGTTGGTTTTATTTGGAATTTCACAACGTAAGTTATTCATTGGCTCTATCTGTTCTTTTAGCAGTTAATAAGAGATTAGCATTCATTACTTGGGAGTCTTCAAAACTGATGGGCATTTATTTTCTTAATAAGCATATTTTCCCTTGTGCATTTTTTTTTTTGTACCTTATTACTTTTTACCCTGACTAATTTCCCTTAGGGACAAGCAAACTCCTTCAAAGTTCTGTGGTTATTTAAAAGTATCCATCAAAACCTTTTATTTACATACTAGAGGCCCAAGGCATGAAATTCGTGCAAGAGTAGGCCTTCCTTCGCCAGCTGCCAGCACCAGCTTCCCTCACAGCCCCAGTGTGGTCCAGAAGGATGTCCAGTATAATTAGCATATTACACTTTCATTATTATAGATTAAACTTTATTTTTATACTGGCATAAGGACAGATTGGTATAATAATTATACCAATGAATTCCAGCTCTGCCTCTTTCCCAATGTATTCCAATTCATTTTTTGCAAAATAGATTAGTAAATCTACCTGAAATATTTGTTGTGAATATACAGTCACGTGACTATTACCTAGCACGGAGCTTGACACATACTAGAAACGTATTATGGTTTACTGTAAGTTATAATATTTTTCCAAGTTTATCTTTCTTTTTCTTTATCTTCCTAGTTTACTTATGTAAACTCTTTACCCTGTTTTAATTCAATCTTGTGTGATGGTCAGAGAGAGAAGGAAATGCTTTAATCACCTACAAGTCCACCTAGATCCTAACATAACGCTTCCCACATTCTGGATGCCCCTGGATGTGAAAGAGGAGAAAAAGAAGGAAGAAGAAAGGACAAGAAGACGATGTTGGCTCTCATCATACGGGTGATACGTTTGTGCTCTCGCAATAAAATTGTATTTCAGTCTATCTTACATTTAATAAAATCTTAGTGTTTTAGAAGATGTACTAAATTAGTAGAGGGAGGTAAAGTGACACGTCCAAATTTGACTAAATCAGTAAGGAGACAAAAATAAAGTAAAAACCAGCCTGTCCACAACGTTTATTAATTTCCCACGATCTACTCCAATGATTTCAGGGTCTGGCTCTCAATTCTATAGTCGATCCATGGTTTAGTGGTGAAGAAATGTTGATATACTGAAGCAGTCAGAGTCTTAGTATTATAAAAGTCAAAAATAAACACGAGTCCCGTAATAGCAATAGCAGCCCTGCCTTGCTCTACAGCATTATTTTGTTTTACCACATATGGTCTCCAGGGCTTTGTTTATGTGCAGTGGGGTGAAATGACAGCTGCCAAGAAGACAATGTTATTTGCTTTTTCAGTGACACATATAAAACCAGTATAATTTTCCTGAATGCCTAAGAAGTAAGCTTAGAACAACATTAATATGACCAAGTTAACAATCCGAGAACATACTAATTTAAAAAATGACACCTAAAAAAGCTCTAAATAGAAGCACATGCAAAAGTATCAGAAGAAGCCAATCAATGTTCACAAAGAGGTAGGGTTTACAAAAAAGGTGGTCCTTATAGCTGTGGGCAAATGCCAATAAATAGAATGGGCCAGGGAGGGCATTTCAGTGTGGAAACCATGAAAATGAAGGTAAGAAGACAAGAAGGTGAGTGGAAGAAAAGCATGGGTTCTCATCATGCACGGCCTTGAATGCCAACAGCAGTAGCCTGGATTTGGTCCTATAAATAAGATACTATTTCAGGAGTGCGCCTGGGTCAGGGAGACCTTATAAAAGCAAAATGCTGAGGAGATGAGCAGACAGCTCTGTGCACTCAAGAGGCCAAGAGGCAGGAGGCAGGGAAACCAGTGTGGAAACTACTGCAGTGTTTCCACATATGAAATCATTATTATTATATTTAACATAAGCTTAAAAATCTGTAAAGCCTGGGAATTGACCCGAGTTATTTCAACAGAGCAAACAGGGGAGAAAGAGAGCAAGTGGCAGTTCCAGGCCAGGGCAGCCCAAGGTCAACTCTTGTTTGAATTTACACTTTGCATCAAGGTGATCATGGGCATCATTAAAAGGGTGCAGGTGAGCCCCAGCCAGTTTGGCTCAGTGGATAGAGTGCCGGCCTGTGGACCCAAGGGTCCTGGGATTGACTCAGGTCAAGGGCACATACCTTGGTTGCAGGCTCCTCTCCGGCCTGGTTGCAGGAGACAACCAGTTGATGTGTTTCTCTCACATCGATGTTTCTCTCTGTCTTTCCCTCTCTCTTCCAGTCTCCCTAAAAAACCAATGGAAAAATATCCTTGTGTGAGTACTAACAAAAACAAAAACCAAAAAGGATGCAGGTGAAAGCCACCCTGACTGGGCTTTAGAAAACGTGAAACAGAATGGAATTACCACTGGTTAATATAGGGAATGACCCAAAATTGAAAGTATTTCAAAATATATCCAGTACATGGCAAGACCTCATCAAATAAGTATCACCTTTATGTGACTAGCACTGTGAAAGACCTTTCATGTGCTATATAAATAATGGATACATATCTATACTAATAAAAGGGTAATAAGCTAATTAGACTGGGAGAGCTAAAGGATGTCCTTCTGGACAAAGTCATGGAGGTGGGGCTGAGGCAGAGGTGGTTAGGGGTAATCAGGGGGGGTAGTTGGAGGCTATCAGGCTGGCGGGGGGGACAGTTGGGGGCAAGTAGGCCAGCAAGGGGGGGCAGTTGGGGGCGATCAGGCTGATGGGGGGGAAGAGGGGCAGTTGGGAGGGGCCCAGGACTGCAGGGGAGGGCAGTTAAGGGGAAACAGGACTGCAGGGAAGGGCAGTTGGAGGGACCAGGCCTATAGGGGAGGGCAGTTGGGGGGGGGGGGGCCAGGCCTGCAGGGGAGGGCAGTTTGGGGGAGGCAGGTTGGCAGAGGAGGGCAGTTGGGGGTGACCAGGCCTGCAGGAGAGGACAGTTAGGGGCAACCAGGCTGGCAAGGTAGGGCAGTTAGGGGTGACTGGGCCAGCAGGGGAGGGCAGTTAGGGGGAATCGCTCCAGTAGGGGATCAATTAGGTGTCAATCGTTCTGGCAGGTGAGTAGTTAGGGCACATGTGTCAAACACAAGGCCCTCGGGCCAAATCCGTCCCGCCAGGCCTTGCAATGTGGCCCGCACCGCGCTGTCATCACTGCACTCCGCTGCGTTTCCATCACAATGACAGTTTATGACTGTTCAGTAAACCATTGGGCCCGCGATTTAGGCTGGATTTTAGATTTTGGCCCCTTCTCTGATTGAGTTCGACACCCCTAGGTTAGGGGGTGATCAGGCAGGCAGGCAGATGAGCAGCTGAGAGCCAGCAGTCCTGGATTGTGAGAGGGGTGTCAGCGACATCCCTCGAGGCACCCCAGATTGGAGAGGGTGCAGGCTGGGCTGAGGGACATCCCCCCTTCCCCATGCATGGATTTCAGGCATCAGGTCTCTAGTATTAAATAAGTTCTCCATGCACACAGTGGGTATAGAGTGTGATTAGGCCAGGAGTTAAATGCTGACGTTACATCTTCAGGTCTAATGTTTATTCCAAGTGATCTTGTTACTTCCTTTTTGGCCTACTGGGAAAAACCAAACCAAACCAAAACAAAACAATATCATAAACAGGACCATCTAGTCTAGCCAAACTTCTACAATAAGATTCTGATCTTGGTAAGAAGGAACATTCAGTTAAGTCATTGTGATTCTGAGGCAAATGCCACAAGCTATCTAAGCCAACAGACTACATGTTGGTTCAACAGTTGTAAAAACGCATCATTTCAAACATTAAATGTCTTACCATTAATAATTTTTTCTAAAAATGGCAGTTGCTGTGGGTGAATCACTCAGATTGGGCCACTTTTCTCAAGGAAAACCAAGATAAATCCTTGTGGGCTCAGAAGCTGAAGATGGCCCTAACCAATTCAGTTCCACAATAATTAAAACTATTTTTCATTTTCCCATCTGACCTTTTAATGTTGCCTACAGGAGGCCTAGAATCCTCCTTTTATGTCAGAGAATTGTCTCATACTACCTGACTGTACCAGCCTATGAGATCTGTTTTACCAAACTGTACAGCACCTTACAGTTTTCCACTGTGAACTACCACTATTCACAATATGTCATTAAGCCCCTCTCCGTCCAAGGTGTAGCTGGCAACATCAAGGGCAAGAAGTATGCATTAGCTGTCTTTACCCACGAGGTGCTTCAACACAGCACTCAAAGCCTTGTCAGTAGTAGATCTTTTTACTTTTTTTCATTTCTCATAAAGTCCTGACCAGATCAATCATACATGTAGTGTAGGCAGCCAGTCTCTATCATTTGATGTGAAGGGTGATAAAGGTCTCCAGTGCCTCTAAATAAATCCTATCCCAACCTGTCGAAGTAGCTGAGTTTAAGAAAGAGGTTTGAGCATACAGTGCTACGAGGGGTCTTAACCAGGTTAACAGGTATTTACCAAACATGCCTTATAAGCCCAACAAAACAGGAGACCAGGCATGGTCCACGTGACCAAAGTTCGTCAGCATCATTAAGATAGAAATATCATGTTTTTGATAATTTTAATATCGAATTTATTTTCAATAAAAGGTAAAGTATTTTTAAAATCTTTACACGGTTCCTACAACAGGCAGCAGGGTCTAGTGGAAAGAAAGGTGTGGGGCAAATCTTCCACCTGCTTTTCCAGCCTCATTTCTGGGCATCCAGTGACCCAGCCACTCTGAATGACCAGTGGCTCCCCAAGCTGCCCAGATGGTTCTGCTAGGTTCTGCTCTAAGCACTGCAAACACAAAGATGGATGCACAGCCCCTATCCCCAGGTAGCTCATAGATAATGAGGACACAAGCGCAGCAGCAGAGATTAGTACAGGGGGAGTTGGGATGAATGAGTTGGAAGGATGCACAGCTCGTTAAGTAAAAAGGTCCAATGGATTTTGAGACCAGATTCATGGAGGGATCACCTAGGATGGTGCCATCTCCAAGGGTTACTACAAGAGTCGGAGAGAAAAGGGAGGTATGGGAAGACATGGAGCCAGTTCTTCAGTTCCCAAGAAATGGACGAAGTGAGTTGGAGCTGGATGAAGAGTAGGGATGAGAAAGGGTGACAGGCAGTTTACCACATTTAGCCTCAAAGATGGGGACGAGAAGCCTTTCTTGCAGTGATCCATAGACAAGGTTGAGAGAGCAATCAGCCAAAAGGCTGAGAACTTTAACCATGGATTCCGCAGGGTGAAGAGAAAAAGAATGTGGGGAAATCAACAGAGGACTGGAAGTGAAAAAGTTAAGGAATGAAAATACAAGTATTAATATGGGAGTAGCAAGATACATGTGAGAGGTTATGCTGGCACAAGCTATGGTCCTGTAGGAGTAGAAGGATGAGGGGTTATGGACACAGTTGAAAGACCAGGCATGAACAATAGAAAGAAAATGACTGCAGGTCCAGGGCCAGCCTCAGGAAAGTGCTAAGAATCACTATTAAGTTTGCAACAGACAACAAGGAGACTTCTCAAGTTCTCAGAGCACTTTCTCTGGTACCTCCACATTCTTTACCATGATTTATTTTTTTCTACAGCACATTAGCCAGATGCTATACTAGTTCCTTGTTTGTTTCTGATCTAGAATATAGATTATAAACCTCCCTGAGGGCAGAAGCACCATCTGTCTTGTTCATTGCTCTATGAACCAGCATCTAGATCATGTAAAGCACAGTTGTGGAATGAATCATGAGTGAATGCATAAATGCTAAGGGTCAGTTAGGATAAGGATATCCCTGAGGTTCAGTAAAATAGCAGATAGGATCTTCCCCAAGAGGGAGCCATGTTTGGGTGTTGGTCTTGGTCAGAAAATGTCAGCCAGGGCCTCCTCCCATGTTGTATCTACTCTTCACGTGACTACGCCTTCTGATCCTATAAGATCAGCTTGGGTGTCACCACTTCTGGGAAGCCACTCCTGAAGTCTCTCCCTACCCAGGACAGCTGCCCCCTCGTAGGTACTCTCAAGGCACCCTATGATTCCTCTATTATTATGCTTACCCTACTGCAGTGTTTCTCAAAGTGTGGTACGCGTACCCCCAGGGGTATGGGAAGAGTTTGGTGGGGGTATGTGTTGCACCAGAGTTTGGTGGGGATATGCACTGCACCGTGCTTAGCTGTGCCTAATTCTACGTTCTCATGAGTACGAGGGGTACTCAGCGTTATGAAAATTATAGAAGGGGTACACTTATATCAAAAGTTTGGGAAATACTGCCCTACTGTATTGTGGGTGAACAAAAAGGGTTCTATGGAAAGTAACCTCACAGGGTGACCTGATGATCAATTCCTAACTGGGCAGGTCATGCTGAGTAGCCATGTCCCCAGCATATACTTTTTAGGAAAAGGCTTATCTTTGCCTTAAGCAAGCCCTGTCCATTGTTTCTGTGCATCTAGGTTAATACACCATTGAAATAAGCAACCCCAAGAAAGCACATAGTATTGTTAACTATCCTATAGCCCAGTCCCTGCTTTGCTTCTCTCCCTCGTGTAATCTTCCTTATGTTCCCTCCTTAATTTCAAATGCATAAAAGAAGCTGCAAAACTTATTCTTCAGGACATTTGAGATTTTGCTTCCCACTATAGGTAGTCAGTTTGGCTCAAATAAACACAAAATTATCTACAGGTTTGGACGTTCTTAAGTCAACAGACTAACTATTTAATACATGTCAGCCTCCACCCCGCCCGCCCCCCCAACTAGACTGAGCAAGAACAGCGTATCTGAAATACACAATGGGGACTCCAAAAACGTTTGTGGAATATGTAAGTGGAAATCACTTAGCAGTAAGTGTGACAGTTACGCGAGATGGTCAATAAGAGCCTGTATTTTCCCTCCTTTGAAGCTCAGTGCGCTATTCAGAAATTTGCACTTCGGCCCTTCTGAGGAAGGGAGCCCCTGTTGCCAAGGCAACTGGGTGAGAAAACAGCCTAGCACCCAGCACCAAAGGTAAGTTTAAAACACATTGGGGGGGGGGGGTCCACTGTGTTTCATGTGCCCATTCCCTGCCCACCTTACAGTAGGCATGCTGGATGCCATGGTGGAACAGTGAAGCGCATGGGCAGCCTTCCCCACCAGAGATGCTGTCCAACTTTCAGAGCATGACAGAACTCCCGGGGAGCTTTTAGAAATGTCTGGCTTTATTGGGCTAGAGTGCAGCTTGGATTTTTACAGCACTTCAGGTGATTCTACTGCACAGCCAGGGTTGAGAACCTTTGCACCTTGGCTCCTTGCCATTTTCTCCTAGTTTGTGGTACCATCCAAGGTAGCATCTCATCAAACACTTCTATACCCCAGTGTCTGCCAAAGCCGGCCATGCACGAGGGTCAATGGTTGTTGGAACAATCCTGAGTAAGGAACTTGTTCTTTAAGACAGTTCCAAAAGCCAAACCATACAATTAACTGTATTGGAGAAAATCAACACTTTTTGTTCAATTTTAAACTGTGCTGTCCTTCAGAGAGAAGGTAGGGGAGAGTGGGGGTGAGGGGGAGAGATCAAATGAAGGACTTGTATGCATGCATATAAGCCTAACCAATGGACACAGACACCAGGGGGTGAGAGCATAAGTGAAGGGGGTGGGGGAAGTAATGGAGGGATAAGGACACATATGTATTATAATACCTTAATCAATAAAGAAAAAATAAAATAAAACTGTGCTGTCCAATCGCCACAAAGGGTGTTTTAGTTTAAATTTATTCAAATTTTTAAAAAACTTATATTAAAAATTCAGTTCCTTAGTAGTACATTCAAGTGTTCGATAGCTAGTGCCTACTGTGTTGGAGAGGGCAGAAATAGAATATTTTCATCACCATAGAAAGTTCTATTGGATAGTGTTAATATAAAAATATTTCCTCAGAAAATAAACTGCTTATATTCATTTTCTGCTAATCATGGACAAAAGGAGCCATAAGGTATGGAGAGGGTAAACTGAATCTCTGGTCATTTCTTCTTGGAAGTCACACCCTGATGAGTGAGGGTGGCTCTTTACACCCCTTTGTGGGAATGAGAACAAAGGAAGGAACAAAAGTGTTTTTGTAATAGTTCCATGTATGTATTAGGGTGGAGTGGCTTTCCAACTATTTTTTACTGTGACCAATAATAAAAAAAATGTTTTATATCACAATCCAGTATACAAATATATATGACTGAAACGAAAAGTTTTTTAAAATTTATCTTTATTGTTCAAAGTATTACATATGTCCCCTTTTTCCCCTCTTAGCCCTGCTCTACCTATCTCCTATTCTACCCCAGACCTTCCCCATGCTATTGTCTGTGACCATGGTTTTTGCATATATGCATATAAGTTTTTTGTTAATCTCTTCCTATCCCTCTTCCCCCAATTCCTTCTGTCAGTCTGTTCCATAATGCTACAAGTTTTATATATCAACTAGAGGTCCAGTGCATGAAATTCATGCACAAAGGGGGGGGGGGTCCCCTCAACCCAACCTGCAACCTCTCCAGTCTGAGACCCTTGAGATCCCAGAGGTGGGGCCTAAATTGGCAGTCGGACATCCCTCTCACAATCCAGTACTGCTGGCTCCTAACTGCTCACCTGCCTGCCTGCCTGCCTGGTTGCCCCAAACTAACCCCCTCTGCTGGCCTGGTCACCCCTAAATTCCCCCAAGACAGCCTGGTTGCCCCCAAATGCCCCCCCCCCACTGACCTAGTTGCTCCCAACAGCCCCCCCTGCTGGCCTGGTATCCCCAAGCAGCCTGCTGTTCAGTCATTTGGTCATTCCTCACTAACCGCCCTGCTGGCCTGGTCACCCTATACCGCCTCCTGTTCGGTCATTTGGCTGTCCCTCACTAAACCCTATGCCTACCTGGTCACCCCAAGCAGCCTGCTGTTCGGTTGTTTGTCTGGTTGTTTTGGTTGTGATGGCCCCTGGCTTTTTATATATTAGGATATTTATCCTTATTACATATTTGCACTTGATTTTTTCTTTATTATTCCATTATATTTTGTTTCCTGTTTCACTGAAATAAATAAATCTACATAACTGTTTCAACAGCAATGGTGAGCTACAGTTTGAAAAACCACTGTCTGAAGATACATTTCCACATAAAACTGGCACTCAGCTTCATACTGCTGGGTTAATAGCTGGCTAGGTAATAATTAACAGCCAACATTTTGGGGGCACTTACTAGATGCCAGGCTATGATAAATGCTTTATATTCATTACCTTATTCAAGTCTCATAATAACCCCACACAATAGGTATCCAAGAATTATGAAAGTGCTAATTTTATGCTACTTGCACAAGTTAGCCTGCTTCAGTTTCATGGATGCTAGCAGAAGACATGAAAGTCCTGGGTCAGAGACAAAGGACTTTATTACTTGCAGCAACCGTAGTAACATATTCATATCAGCATTTTCTTGCCGTTCCCCCGCCCCAATGCCCACAGGGTGTCACAAAGAAGACCATGTGACACCTGTACATGCAGAGAGCAGCCTACTGGATAGGAACGCCGACCCGGGGAAGCACAAATCTACCGGATAGAAGCACACCCACCCTCTGCTGCTGAAGGCAACACTGTCATCCAAGACTGTTCACTACAAACATCCTTGAAAACACAGGCCAGAACAAAAAAGCAGGGAGTGCCTCTCTGTAAGACCTGTCAAATGCATGGGGTACATGACGAAACAATAGCTCAAAAGGGATGAAATAACATATTCAAGGTTACACAGATAGTAACCCAGGTCTATATGAGACCTAAGCCTATGCTGATGGTACTTCTACAGCCAATGGGCTGTGCAACAATAGGAAAAAAGAAGATATTTGTCATTCAATCGTTCATTCAGACGTGCAATCTGTCCCTAAAAAAGGAATTAGCTAGATATAATTGGGAATAGGCCATCTTTTCCACATTTTTTTCAAGAACCACACAGGAAGAGTATCATATGAACAGGAGTCAGCAAACTTTGCCTGTGAAGGGCCAGGGAACAGAGATTTTCAGCTTTATGGTCAGATGTGCTGTTTCAACTACTCAACTTTGGTGGTAGTGCAGAAGCAGCCACAGGTGATAGGTAACCAATTGGCCATAGCTGTGTGCCAACAAAATTTTACTTACAAATTAGTTTGCCAACCCCTGTCTTCAGATAACCCCGTGGGATACAAAAAAATACATAATTTCTACACTCAAACCAACAACGATATAACTGGAAAGACAAGGTAAATATGCCACAAACAAGAAAACCAGGAGATATATGAAACTGAAGTGAGCCTAGGTTAAGGTGACTAGATGTCCCGCTTTTGGCGGGACAGTCCCAATTTTTAACAATTTGTCCCGCGTCCCGGGGCGTTTTAAAAAAGTCCCTGACTTTTTGGAAAGAATCTTTTCACCTTAGCCTAGGTTAGGGGTGTCGAACTCAATTAGAGAAGGGGCCAAAATCTAAAATCCAGCCTAAATCGCGGGCCGAATGGTTTACTGAACAGTCATAAACTGTCATTGTGATGGAAACGCAGCGGAGTGCAGTGATGACAGCGCGGTGCTGGCCACATTGCAAGGCCTGGTGGGACGGATTTGGCCCGCGGGCCTTGTGTTTGACACATGTGGCCTAGGTTTAACTTCAGAATATTGTTAAGTCAGCTTGGACAAACAATATGTCAAGAACTAGTGTAAAATACTCATAGACTAAAAGGAGAATACTAAGAGTCTCTGTAATAACTGCGGTCATGCCTTGGTTCTAAGAAATAAACGATGTGACTTCCAAAGGCTTTTGCTAGCCTTCGATGCCTTTCAGGGGTCTTCAAACTACGGCCCGCGGGCCACATGCGGCCCGCAGAGGAGTCTGATCCGGCCCGCCAGGTTTTTTGGGCAGTGAGCGCAGCCGAGGTGTTACAGTAGGAATTAGTAGTTCATATAGTCCGGCCCTCCAGCTCTCTGAGGGACCGTGATCTGGCCCCCACTTTAAAAAGTTTGAGGATGCCTGCAGATGCTCAATAGGGAAGCAATTATCCAGAACAATCCTTTTTAATTTTCCATGTGATAGAATAAGTTAAAACCTGTGTTATAAATAAGGAAAAGGCAACAACAACAACAAAAAAAACAGTGGAAAAATAACAGTAAAAAAAAGGAAGTTACTATGGCTAGGGGCCATGCTAGGGATTTCATAAATATTGTCCAATAGCTAATAGTTCACTTACAGAGCTGCCAAATGTCTGACTCTGTAAGTGTACATTCCCTTGGTTCGATGGCCTGATCTTAAAAGAGCACAATGTGCCACTATTTGATCACAGTGGTATCCTTTTGCCAAATCAATTCATGGAAAATGTACGCCTTTATTTTTATATCATACAAATTCAATCAAAATTTTGGTACATCAAATCATTATGATGTATTCAATCAAAGGGCAACCCACTCCTTTTCATACAAATCAATTTTTATGCCACATATAAGCTCAAATTATAATGGAAAAACACTAATCAAAATGTCAGAAAAGATAATCGGCTTTGTCAAAAAAAAAAATTCCAATCGCTGCTAAAATTACAGGGAGATAAATATGAACATTGTGCTTTCATTGACAACACTGGGGAAAACATTCAAACTGACACACTCTTTAAGTCTAGACTATGTGGGAAAATCACACTGCAAGGAAGACCAACTGTCACCTCTAAGTTAGTATTCCAGATACTGCATGTAGGTGTATTTTAGTTACTAGTGCTTCTATGCAAATACTCTTTCAGGTTTTTAAAAATCTTTCATTGTTGAAAGTATTACATATGTCCCCTTTTCTCTCCCATTGATCCCTTATATAATCTGC